TTGACAGTATGAAATTTTCTCATCAATGAAATTTCTAACAATGATTATTGAATTGAACATACTTTTGAAGTTCCATGTGAATCATCCATAGCAGCTGCACGTCTTTTTATGCCCTCTAAATATACTTCACGATTAAACAAACCACCACCTAAAGGAATTCTGTAAGAAATATTAATTAACCACTGCAATATTTTGTAAGTTTGAATTATATTAGCTGTAGATGATAAGTACATACATGTCAATACCGGGCCTTATGATTGTTTTGAAAACACCCCACACAGGTTTATGATCCGAAGTACAAATGCTTGGTACGGAATCATATACTAAGCATTCTATTACTCCATCTTTATATGAATTTGTGCTTTCATGACTAACTCGTCGAATATATCCTTTTGTATGCCCTTTTCCCTTGAAGAGGATCCTGTCAGTATATGCAGGTGTGCGTTGCTTACTACTTGAATCAAAATTCTGTGTTCCAGGATCATATTTATAAGTGGGTGGAAATGTGATTGGTGCTTCTTCAAATCCACGTAAAACAGCTCCTTCATTAAGAGTTGTTCGTAATTGGTCTTTATGTAAATTTACTGGGGATTGTTGAGGAAAGCATGTATCTGTAACCCATTGTATAACTTCTTCTCTTGGTTGAGCCAAACGAAAATTTAAGTCACCACACCAAAATACACAATCGAAATTTTGTGTCACATCTAAAATTTTTATTATTTTTAATGATTATGCAATGGTTTTGCAATTGAGTAAAATGAAATAATGAAATGTATTGAAATTAGGAATAATATTTGTACCTTTGCTCCTATGCCTTGTAGGTAAATCTTTCGGAAGATCAAGATTTCTGATTATTCTTTTAATATCATTGACTCGTTCTTTGACTTTATCTTGATGTGCAGTTAGATGTGCAGTAACAAACAGAAAACTTGTACCAAATAACATTAAAGCTATAGCTACTGCTCCTTTTGTTCTAAAAGCAGTACCTGTTCTCGTAGAAAAGCTAGCATCTTCAGCAATAGAACAAAACCAAATTAAATCTCTTCTTAAAAAGAGAGCGAGATGTAATGTTCCTAAACCAGTACTGAAGAGTAATACATGCGAAGGACCAAGAGTTTCCTGTAAAGCTGCTTCCCATTCGTTTCGTTCAGAACATGATTCTTGTGTTCCAATTGCCAATAAGTCTGGGACAGTTTCTATATCTGATGGTAACATAAAATCATTTAATTCTTTTGGTGGATTTTGTCCATTCATGTTCCATGTCCCAACAAAAATTTTCAATTCACGATTTGGTAAAACTTTCTCGAGTTCTACAGGTCCAAGTAAAGAATTTGCTGCAATTCTTCCATGAAGAAAATTTCTGTAATAAAATGTTAAATTATAACATTTTTTTATATATATAAAACTGATATATGTATAGAATTACAATTTCACTGAGTTCTTATACATACCTTTCACGTGCCTTTTGTGTTGGGATCAGATTAGGGATTTGAGCTGCTAGTAATGCTTGTTTTGCTAAACTATCTATAGAGACTCCACTTGTTTGAGACCGATGACGTTCCTTTTTCTTAGATAGAGCATCGTGTGATGTAGAACGAGGTTTGAGCTGAACAGGTGCACTCCTTACAGATTCTGGACTTGAGTGTCGCATAGAATTTGTTGGTGAATTTACTACTAAATTATCCACTGAACGTCTATGTATTAGTTTTTGTCTTATACATGTAGGAACATTTGGAGAAATAGATCCAGAAGATGAATTTTCACCTAAAACATAAAAAGGTGACAAAATTAAAAGATTCATTGTTTGAGAAAAGGTACAGTATTTATTGTCACCACTGAGAAATTTTACATTTACAAGACCATTGATAAATTATCTTTAATACACATATAAATGTATCAAGTTCTGTTTATAATTTGTAAGAACTCATTCCTTTTATAACAATAATAAAATATATTTACCACAAAACTAAAATGCAAAATCTTTTGAAAGAGTGTGAAATAATTATTGA